ATCCCGTAAGATACACATTGGTACACTTCCATCCCACTACAATCCTTGTTTCACGTGTTTCTCACCTCCTCTTCCTCCTTATTGAAAGTTTGAAGCGAATATCTCTCCTTTTAGGTGGTCCCGATAACGAAGAGATCTCCCTCCAACTCAGTGAAGCGATTCGAAGTCTGTCTGAACTCCGACAACAGAACGACAAATTGAAGGAACTGATTGAATCTGAACGACGGGAGCACGCCGCCGAACGAGAGCGGAATGAGGCTTTCAGAAAGAGCAGGTACGCATGATTCCGCTGTTAATCGTCAGCCGCTTGAGGCCGGGTTCATACTTCGCGACTTGAGCCACTCAGTCGCGCGATTTCCAGACAACCGCTATATTGTTTCCTCGTTTTTCTGCTAACTTAATAACAATTAGTATGAAACTTACTTCATTTTGTGCACGGTTTAAGGATTACTGGGGTGGAACGCTATTATTAGCAGTCGCGCGAATAAGTCGTCTAATCCGCGAAGTATAAACTCTGCGCGACTTTGCTTCTTTTGCTTTATATATTTAACTCAGACCCGACAATGCTCGTTCGAAGCTGATTGCCCTAAGTAAAACAAACGAAACCTTACCATTCTAGCACAATTTGAATTGATCATGTTATACTTACAGCCATTGTCGAAGGGTAGAGAGGGGCGTTCCAAATACGCCTCCTTTGGGCACTGCTGCGTTTTCCTATGACTATCCTCTCATACATGCGTATATACCTGCCTGGACCATCGCAGCCTCTGCGCTCGGCACGCGCTTGAAAACGTCACTGTCTACCCTCAGATATGGGCTGTGATTTGCTATGTTGGTCCTAGTCAGCTAGCAAATTTCTCGACTTTTCGTCGATTTTCGCTCAATGTAGAAGACCGCATCCTCTGAGATATTATATGTTCACTTCTTTCGAATTTATTATAAAAGTCTCGGAGCTGTTCGGCTCGAGGGATGAGGGCATTCTGCGCTTTGCCGGTTCATTTTGCTACTTCATCTTAACTAAGATTTTCATTGTGTAGAACACTGTAAATTACTGTGAAGCTGCCGAATGATAGAGGCGATTCACTTCGGCTACAGGTATTACAGGCCTTCACAAGATGACTTTACAAACTTCGCTGAGCCTCCTTATCTGCCCCATCGAGCCGAACTTCTTCAACTTTTCTATATGTTTCGGGGTCGGGTCAACTACTGCGTCGGCTATCGTCCTGTAGGTCCAGTTCGGATTTTTCGGCGCGATTCTGTGGTTTGAAGACGTACCGAATTCGTTCAGCTTTTCGGCTTGCAGGGGCATCCTGTACGCTTGCTTGTTCCTTCTATTAGTTCATGTTACCTGCTGTGAAGCTGCGGAATGGTTCAAGAGAGCCACTTTGGTCACAGTAATTCACAGGTTTTTAGCAGAAAGTCTGCACAGGTTTAGTTACCCCCACCAAGGCCGACCTGGGCCGAATTGTCTGATACTCCCTACTTATGTTTCAAAGAGTTTGTTGCCACTGCTTAATCATCAAAAACTCCGAAATGTGGTTTGCAAATGTTGTTTCTGTGGTAGTAATGTCCAAAAAACAGATGCATATGACAGGGCTGACTCATCTGAAGTGATTCATGATTGGTGAATGTACACTGTTTTTGAGAAGAATTTGGGGTTGGCTGAAGAGGCGAATGCGCTAATGAATGCAATATGGCCTACACAATGACTTCTGGGGGCCAACCGTAGCCGGAACACAATGTTTTTATCCTCCCGGATCTGGTACTGACTTGCCAAACCCGAAGAAAATGGCTTGGCAAGCTTGGACGGGAACCGATTGGGAATTCGACTCCTTCACAGCGTACGCGGGTCACTTTTCACTAAACCAGACCCAATTTTTTTTGCATTTTCTGTATTTTTCCTGAATATTTCCTTGGCTTGAAAGGCAGATGAGCTGTGAATCACTCTGAATAGACGAGTCTTGCACTAGCTTACCGTTCCTGCAGTGTAGAAGGCTTGACTGGCTTGGAAACGAGCCGATCCGGGATTCGAACCTCGGATTGCGCGCGTGTAATCGTGCGACTTGTCACTACACCAGCTGTCTATGATGAAATGGGAAATTACTGAAGCAGAGCTCATCTTCGGGATGCAAGCAATTTTTGGCAAATTCGCCTCCTCCGTCCTGTACTATCCTTTCACAACCCCCCCCCCCAACTCTTCCCCTCAAAACTATCGCCGAGCGGGAGAAGGGTACATAGGAGTCCCCACTCCCCATCTAGCTCTATCTTTCAAAATTCCCTACCGATTCTCCCATTTTCCTAAAGATTGACTGAGGGAGGTCATCATTAATAAACTATTGAAATGGGCTGTTACCCTACATATCTCAGTCATGGGTGGACCTGGCTGCATACTCCCTTCGAAGGTATGGCGAAGGACTTCTGATGGGATATTTTCGTTTCGGGGCTATTTTGACCATGTACCAAGATTAGACCCGTATTTGGTCAAATACCCTTCTAAAAGCACATTTCACGTCGCGTACAACTTAATTACGCAGCCACGCCCTTCCCATCGCCAGGTTATGGAATGTTCATGATTAGGTGCCCATGCCATTGCCCGTTTACACCACCACTTCCGGAATATTAGAATCGAGCGATTTTTCAATAGTTTGCCACCTTTTATCAATCCTTTTCGGATGGGTTAGAAGGGCAATGAGCGGCTATTCTCTAACGAAAATCAAGGTTTTACAAGGAACTCAAATCGTGCATGTGCAGAACACTAGATTATCCCTCTCTCCTTCCCGCTTTCACCTCCCTGTTCCCCAATCTTTTGAAGGTTTCTCAAAATTCTTGCAGCCAGGTTGATTTCCTGGTTCAGAGCATCAAAGTGGTAGTCAAATAGTTTCTCACGCAAAACGTGCAAGAAACGAAAAATGACGCGTCAGGATACAAATGGCCTGCAATATTTCGTGCGTGCCGTCACGGACGGCTAATGCCGTTTGGACTCCAGAAATTTCGGCTCCGAGCTCATTTTAAAAGTGGCTCACCAAATCCGCTAAAAACTTGTATATAGGGGTAATTCAACATCCTGATCACGAATATGACATTCATTTTTGGCGCTGGCGCTAATGGATGACACTACGGTTACCTGCGCTCTGCTAAGGCTGAGCCCAGGAGGTAATCGTAGTGTCCTCTCTTGGCGCCAGCGCCAAGAATGAGTGTCATACTCGTAATCAGGATGTTGAATTACCCCTACAAGTTTTTAGTGGATTTGGTGACTTAGGCAATTTGAAAATGAGCTCGGAGCCGAAATTTCTGGAGTCCAAACGGCATTAGCCGTCACGGACGCCCTAATAGCTACCGTAGTCCTTTTAATGAATCTGCACAAAGTAGACAGCACGGTCTAATTGCGTTTCGAAGACATTTTTCCTTGTTTTACATCAATTTCATGAAAGTGCAACTAAAGGTCTGATTTTATAGGATTTTTTGAGGGACTACAGGATTAACAGGTCCAGAAACGCGACTCACAAAAACAAAATGAAAGGACCAAGCTCGTCGAACTTGTAGAAATTTAGCCTAGAATTTTGTTCGAAAAAATCTGACCATTTTTTGGGCTCCGAGTCCGGGTGGGGGGCAGAAAGTTTTTCCACTCGACTGAGGGCGTGTCTGAATGGCCTGGACAATAATTACAAAACATATGGCACAAAGTCCTGAAAAGACAGTTATATGGGAGAGAGACAGTCAACTATTCTACCTCCTTCATTAGCGCATCCCTCTTCCTAAGAACTAGGCGAGGAGCCCTTATGAGAGTGGCTGACTGTCTCCGCCCACCCTATCAGCATGAAGTGTGCCTGTAAAGGCAGTGTTCAGGATTGACGTGGTTAGGCGGAGCAAGGGAACGATCCAATATTGCATCCTGTCTGTTCGCCTTCCCTGGAAGGGTGGTTACTTGAAACTTTTATCATGGTCCTGTAGGCCCTATTATACGGAAATATAGATGGTAGCGGCTGTCAAAAGTCGAAAGCTGCCTAAAAACATCATGAGCCAGGGGATGGAGTTTCCCTGGTGCGGGACCCCGGGGCAGGCCACCTACGTTGGAATTGTGAGGTCACAGTTATCATAGCACGCCACGATAGAGCGCAGACGACGCGCCAATTAAGCGCGAGTTCAAATTATTCATCGACTCTGAGGCGGTAGAGAACGTAGAAGTAGCCACAGTGACGTCGTTTGCTGGCTTCGCGCACCCGGCAGTCCCCAAACCGTGCCTTCAATCCCAAGGGTACGTATCGAACGTATGCAGGACATACTGGACCTCACCATAAGTTAGCCTATACATTCTCTGTCGAATTCCTCAGTGTTGTTCTCAAGCGATAATCAGAAGATCTCCGTTCCCCAAAATGCAGAGGAAAATATCCATTGATTCTCTAAAAAAACAACAACGAAAGATTAACCAAGGAGCAAATCAGATTGAAGTCTTCCTTCCAGGAATCGTCCAGTAGCAGAAGAAGTGCCGAGAAGCCAAAAGACGGTTTGAGAAGAAACCCAATCTCAAAGCAGCAGATCTCTATTCATTTGATCATGAGGTGACCAGAAGAGCACTGGAAAGTCGAATATGGGAGGTATGTCTATCGTCTGTACGTTTCCTTTAGCAGACACAATATTTGAGAGACATTACACATATGTCGTGTGGGTGGACCCGTGTCTGGGATTGTAGCATCCTCATTGGCGCTCCTCTCCTTCCTGAGAACGGCCAACCAATCGGAGAAGTGCAATGCTAGGTTCGGCTCAGCCCACAACGACAGTGCGCCTTCAAATTTCCACACTTCCACAATACCTTTACATTACTTTCGATTGGTCTGCAAACGACTTTGAAAATTGCAATTCCGAATCGAATCCTTCTGGATGAGCCTATTTTTCGAAGGGCTCCTTTAGCTAGGGCTTCCATAGTTCACTGCTTGAATACTTTGATGGCATTCCGAATTGATATCACATACAAAAACCTTTTTCAGGTGTTTTATTACGTTATGGGGAAGATCTCTAATATGAAGCTGAAAGATGACGTGTTTAGTCGCCATACGGAGAATCAGGTTGGTGGCAGATCAATCTACGTGTAGGGCTTAAGATTTGCTCCATATAACCTCTGGTATTGTGCCCCATGGCGTCTACACTTGAAATCCCTGAGATGGGGTGGGCGTGGCTGCGTACTTCAACTGAACGTGGCGTTGGCTGTGATTTTGGTGAGACGTTTTCATGCTGACACATTTATGTTCATGCCTTTGTCCAAAAGAACAAGATGAGGTGTTATCTCGTAGTGAAGTAATTCCACGATAGTCAATCGTGCTATGTAATCGCCACGCCTACTCCGTCTCGGGGATAAGAGCATATGTAGTGCGCTGACAGTATCATCATGATTCCCGATTTGAAGAAAATGCTGAATTCGTTGCACACGCTAGCTAATTAGTTTAACGGCACTCTCCGGCTCCGTTTTTCTCGAAATTTTGTGCAGTCTAGAGGGAGGGATGGACGGGTCGCACCCCCCCCGACAAACAATGTAACTTCAAGCATAATTCAGCCATGGAAACGGGTAGTTTTATACGAACTTGACAAGAGCGACCACCCCCCCCCCCTCTTTTTTAATGACAAAGCGCTAGCCAGTAGGAGCCTGCAATAGAGCCTCTCAAGACATGCGCGTACATCACATTTCAGCATTACATCCACCAGAATCTACTTGAACTGGAACAAACAACTATCAAAAAATTGTTCTTAAGCCAGCTGTGACTCCACCCTCCTGCGACAACCAGCACGAGCACCGTGGTAGTTTCGTCAGCGTGAGACGTGACTATTTCTTGGGATGGAAAACCCAAGCAGTGACCGCCATAACTTACTTGGACCAAGCTACTTCCAAATTGTTTTCAAGGTTGCTCACCTTTTCGAATTGCAGTTTCTGTCCCTTCTGGCGACAGCGTCCAATTTCTCTGAAGTCGATGGGGCAGCATCGTGGCGGAAGAAGTCACTCCAGGCGATCACCGACGTCATCCAAGCAAAGATCCATAAAATGCAACATCCAGAAGATTGCAAAAATGCAAAGTAAGTTCAGTTCGCAAGTTTCATTGAATTGGTCCTCGCCTTTACAATACCCCCCCCCCCCTCTTCCTCGGGTATGTGCAAGATAATCGTATTTCACCGCGCTAAAGGTGCCGCTGCAATGTCGCGCCCGAGCAAATACGATGGCCCCAGTAGTAGATGCGACAACAAGCAATTTAGAATCCGAAAATCGTCATGAATGTCTACGACGGTCTACATAAGTCCGGTGCTCCAATCCGCAGGTTGACACGAGTTAAGAAAACGGCGCGAACATCGCCGCGCGCGGCGGAGCGGCCAATCACGGTTCTCACCCCCCCCCCACTTCAAACACAACGGTTTTCGATGTCTAATGAATATACTGGAGGGCTTCAGTTTACTATCACCACATCAGAGCCTGTCCGTGGAATAGTAGACCAGTTATTAGCCAGTTGTTGGTTGAAGAGCTCTTCTGTCGCTCAAATGACTAGCAAATATTATTGTCCCCTATATATTACCATAAAGTAAAAATCTGGAAAATCCAATGATATCAAAATCTGTGAGGGGATTTCCCTTTTCTTCTATTAAAACCCCGAGATCTCAGTCATACTGAAAAGTCGTCTCTTGTGTAATTTAACTCGCGCTCAAAGCCGCGCAGTATGCTCTGTGCTTCGGGGCTTATCTGCAGCGCGACAAATCCATGTCACCTTGTCTCGATGTAGTAAGCTCTAAATGATTTGCTGGCGGCGCAGTAGAACCATCTCAGAACTTTTCACATCTTCCCGTAAGGATGCAAACGCGAAGACATAACCTGGTTCAGCCTCTCCCGAGAAAGCTCTGAGGCGCCCAGGCCCGCGCCATGATTACAACTATGATATTCATTTTCTGAAGAGGTACTGAAAATCACAGCCAGTCGTGACATTCGAATGACAAGCTCAAGCGAAAAATAGAAATGATCTGAACAAATTACCACTTCAACTAATCAGCATTGCCTTCAGAATCCTCCTCTGCAACCTGGACAAACAGTGTGGCTTTGGCTGCCAACTGCATCACGTGGCTTACTGCTTCGTGACGGCATTCGGTTCACAGCGCACCATGGTCTTCAACGGCGATGGCAGTTCGTGGAGGTCAGTTCACTCCGAGAGATCAGAAATATGTTCGACATAGCGTGGTCCAGGAATATGTTGGGTGCATCCCGGTTTGGAGGCGGGTACTCTTCCTTACCATCTTATTGTTAGTAAGAGGTCACATCAGTAGAGAAGACGCAACCAGGGCACATGTTGGGGATAATTTCTCGAAGTACTGCCCATCCGGATCCCTCTGTGGTGCGACCTCCTTCCCCATACCCCGTCGCACTTGCCATTCTCACGAAATTTTCCCAGCTTCTTCGTACCACTTTGCCGGAGTTTTCGCAGTTTCTTTTTGTCAAGAACCCTCAACTTTTTCCCCCACCGAATACCGCTGCAGTCGAGCGCGAAGGTCTGCCCTCACTTACCTCGACCACTTCGTCCTATCCCCTATTTTTTAGAACGATTTTTGTAAGGTGAGGTCCTTGTTGTTTTCAGAACTTCCACATTCTTTCACACAGTAGAGGGTCTTTCTGAGCGAGCGAAATACAACTCCCTAACCAGGCGACTCATTATGGCCCTCTCGCTGAAAGAAAAACTTTCTCAAGTGTGATGCTCACTTATCACCACGATCCACCAGGAGATGAAAACCGCGAATGATTCTTACAAGCTCTTCTATTCGATCTTCATGTTTAGTTTTGTAAAGCTTTACTGCAGTTACTCCAAAAGCTCGCAACTATTGAAAACGCCTTTCAGGTACTCCACAAAAGGCTGGACAGGAGCGTTCCTCTCCTATCAGCAATTGCAAGCAGGAAGACCTGGGTGAGTCTAACCTTATTACCATAAGTTTGAGAGCCCCGTAAACAAAAACTCATCCCTGTGGTCAGATGAAGGCAAGACGGTGTTGATCTAAACGTACAACCCAAAACTCAGTCTGAAAAGTGCTTACCTAAAAAATCCAGAAAATTCTGAATACGTTCAAGCTCTCAGTTTTAACCAACTAATAATTGATAATTGTCAGTAATTAGTAAAATAAAACAGAACAATAAACCAGTAATCCGACAAGGGGCCTCGGTGGCCAAAGTGGATAACGGATAGAACCCTCGACCTGTGAGCGTACGCTGAGATACGAGTCCCGCTGGGAGATAAGAGTTTAGCCCTTACCTGAACATTTTTTGTAATGAAATAATGAAGTTTTCGACAGGAAAATACAACAAACTTGCCGAGAATTCTTGAAAAATGCTGTCATTTCGTCAATAATAAATCTGTGGTAAAAGCCGATAATTTGTGATAGCGGTTCATCAATTACAGTGTTTTGAGAGAGTGACCGTAGTCATCACCATCTCTTGTTGAAGCTCTACAAATTGTGGTACAAAAGTCTCGTACTTTTCCAAAATAGGTTTTTATCTACAGACGGCCCTGTCGCCTCCTACAGCCTGCAATCGACTGAACGCGTTGTTCAACTCGGAATCGTTGATGCACTCGCAAACAAGTGAGCCGAGTTTTCTGCTTTTTTTTGCTCCCTCGCTATCGCACTTTGAGTGGATCTGTGATAGACCAATCATAATAATGTCAGGCGCTATCCGCCTCGGGATTGGCCACCCTCCAGCGGGCATTAAGTCACGTCATGTCTGCATGTTCTGCGCCCTTCATCGCAAACAGGATACGTTTCTTTCACCTAGTCTAGTCGACGTCAGAACATGTCTTTTTCTTCACTAACGCTCTCTTCCTAACAGCTTAACGTGGCTTTGTCACATCAGAACATGGCGTGGCTACGTAAGCTGGTGGTGCCCCCTCCAGAGTCACATCACGCGCCATGTAGACAAGCAATATGCTGACGGTTTCGAACAATCAGTTGTCCAGTGGAGTCACCTTCTCTGCCCAGAGACGAGGTGGAAGGGGGAAGGGAGTCATGCCTCACAACTCGCACTTTCAGTTGTCTTCCTCAAGGTGAGGGTCTATTATGTAAAGGCGGGGCTCTTTCTTCTCCCAAGTCGATGCAAGGTGTGCCCCTCTCTGTCCAGACTGTGAAGGTCCAAAATAGCTTTTAAATTGATTTTGGACCAAGAACGACTTGCGAGGGCAGCCTAACACACACTGTGCCCTTCTCTACTTGCTTTTAAAATTTAATTTGCTGATTGGGATAAAGGATCAGAGCACAGATGCATATCCCGAAGCAAGGGCAGGATCATATCTGCCTGGAAGATTGGAGTGTGCAGCGGATGAGGAACTTATGATGGTCCTTGTTTGCGAAAATTTCAACCCGAGGCAGGCCTTGATTGCGAAGCGACGTAGGTTGGTCATTCCTACTCGGCGCTCGATTTGTCGGATCCCCCTTCTGCGCGTGCCACTCCGGTACTGCAGCGCCATTTCCGTATGGACGAATAACTCCGCTGAGCGAGTTCAAGCGGATAGAGCCACATTAAGAGACCTTTCTAGCTCTGAGTGGAGGTCAAATGCACGGCGCACCTTCATAGAACTTGATAGAGAGATTGAACTGTGCTCTAAAGATATAGCGTTTACCAGTAAACTTACCTATAGAGCAGTTCCTTATTATTCAATCTTTTTTATAGCGTAAATAGGTTAACGACATATTCAGTCAATAGTAACGTTCTAGCTTAAGGCCTGCCTTCCTCCCTTTGTCAATACCGAAATCTCTTGCTGAACCGCTCCTGAAGCTGCACTCGAATCCGCCTGCATTTTTCATTAGTCAGGTAATTCACTGATGCCATATTTAATTAATTATTTCTTTTTTCTTCTTAAAAAGGCCATACCACCTCGTTATTTCCAGTTCCTCTGGTATTTGATGAGAAGTGGAAAGGAATTGAAGAAGGCTCTGAACCTTTCAATATCTATGATTCCCTTCGAGAAAGGTACGTTCTCATTTTTTCGATATCTATGATTCCCTTCGAGAAAGGTACGTTCTCATTTTTTACGCTTTTCTTTTCTCTATCGAGCTTCGAGGATTAAGCCAACCATAGCTGTGCCCATAAGTGAAATTGGCCGTAAAACGCTTTTTCACGGTTCAGATGCCCCTCAATGTGAGCAAGGCTTTCATCCAAGGCGCGTCCTTGCGTGCCGGAGAATTTTCCAGGGATCTCCCCCTCCTTCCGGAATTTCATCCCCAGTACGACCTCTCTCTCACAGCTTACCGACCATCTGACCAAAATTTCCCGTAATTTCGCTATTGATCAACTATCAGAAATAGCAATGCTGCCTACCGACTAGAACCATGTGGAGCGCGCAAAAACGTTGAGAAAAAACTGGCTGGAAAATTTTTTAGCGAGCCAAATGCGACCCCCTTCATTGGAGGTTCTCCAATATAGTTCCAATATAGATTCTCCAAGAAAAGAGGACAGGAAAACTACCTGGGGCTGCACAACTCGTTGTGGAACCTGGCTCTTCCTTTCGAGTCTTTCGGGCTGTGAGTCGTTTGTCCCCGCTGCGCGGCACTTACGCGACGAACTTCTGCGGCCTGTCTCTGTTTGGTAATGTGATACGTCACGCTGCTATCGTAATTGCCTAGTGGGCCACATCCCCCCTACCCGGGGTCTAATTGTGGGTTATAAGCCTTTACGTACTACGAGTGCCCTTGAAACTATTTGGCCAGGGGCTCTATCGAAGAGCTTTCTTACATTTCTGAATCACAGTTTATTTCAGGACCGATCGTTGGCTTGCAAATCCGCCGCACTGACAAAGTCGGTACAGAGGCGGCTTTTCACTCTGTTGAAGAGTACATGCAATGGACAGAACGATGGTTCAAGTGAGTTCAGTACACGTTCCATCTTGCATCTCTTTTATGGATCGCTAAGAGGGAAGGCGCAGTGGTCCATCTTACTCCGCCCATTTGCTTAACATGAAATCAATGGAAACGGAAGAAGACCGAGAACAGGGGCATGTTAATGGGACTTGAATAACCGAAAAACAATCTGAATCTCTCAATCAGTCTTACCTTTGTCATATTTTTAGATCCAAGACCGCAAACAGGGACGAAATGTAACTCGACGAGTATTCGTCGCAACCGACGATCCATCCGTGCTTCCTGAAATCAAGACGAAGTGAGTTTCAATTTTCCTTGGAAAAAATAAATCAAATGCGGAGAGCTCCACTTTTTTCTCAATGGCATTATCAGCCTTCCGGGCTAATTTGTCGTCGGGAAAATGCTATGGACATAGACGTTAGCAGTATCCCACAGTCTTGGTCGCTACGAATGATGGGGCGTATCAGAGGGACGGGTTTGGCGCGGCGCCAGCTCGTTCTTCACCAATTCTTGAATTAGACAAGCAACAGAACTGCATCACATTGTTCGTACCAATCGTTTTTCACTAGTTGCTGTCGCCCACTCAAATAATTGGTGGAGAACGTTCTGACGGCTCGCCGAACCCGGCCCACTTTTACGCCCATCATCCGCGATGACGAAGACTGTATCCACTCCTTTGAGATGTGCCATGCATCTGACCCGTTTCTTGAAGGCCTTTAAATGAGTTGAATGAGTCATTTGAAAACGTTTCTGCCCGCAGGTATTAGTGTAGAGTAGACATATTTTCAAGTGAGCACAGATTGCCGGGTTTAACTCAGTAGGTCTGAGCTGGGCTGCTCAAGAGACGCTGCAAAGGGGCTTCGCATCAGGCCCAAACTGAGGGCCTGATGAGGGAACTCAGCGTATCTGCTGAGTGCTGCTGCGTACAAATCAGAATAGCCATGGAATATTCTGCTGCTTTTGCACCTAGGTAGTGAAGTGGTAAGTGGCCCGCTTGCCACTCGCCTAGTCCGGGGCCAAATTCCAAACCTATAATAGCCTGAGCTCAACCTCTGGGGCTGATAAATCGGTTTTGTCGGTGAAAATAAAAACAATGACTTGTACACTGGCAGGTACGGTGAATTACTGTATAAGCTATATTGTGATCGAAAAGCCACTACGGTAATGAACGGGGCAGAATGTATGCCGCTTCCCACACAGGGTTAGTCTACGGTGATGGCTTGTCCTTTATCCCTTGATTTTGTGTGCGGAACCTCGTTTCGTATCTCCCGAGTTACAGCCTAATTTTTGAGTGGAGGTGAATGCACGGCGTATACTGGAGGATTCGATTGGTTCCTGCTGCATCTTTTACGGATCATGTTTCAGATTCCCTTCGTATGAGGTATATGGTGATGAGAAAACAGCAGATACCGCTCAGCTGCAAAATCGCTACACAGACAGTTCGCTGTACGGTGTTGTTAGGGATATTCGACTTCTCAGTCACTGTGATTATCTCGTCTGCACATTTTCTAGTCAGGTGAATCATAAAATACTTCAGAGCACTTAATAGCATTAGGGGTTGGGCATAATGGGACTGTTGTTTCGGTCCCATTAGCTGATTTACAAAGGTATTCTCTGCAGATTTCAGACTCCTTGAAACAACGCAGTTTTCACTTCAGGTATGCCGAATGGGATTCGAACTGATGCAGGTCCTACAGGGAGACGCTGGTGAACGATTCCATTCCTTAGATGATATCTATTATTTCGGAGGGCAACACGGTAATCCTTTTTGCTTTCTTGATTTCACTACTGCTTTTCTGTTAGTGGCCCGTCAACGGCACATTTCGCGATAGCCAGATGGGCGGAGAAATAGGCGGAGTCCGACAACAGCTGTGCTTTCATCACTGGTATGTCCCTCACTATGAGATGACAAAGAACAGGGCATGCCAATGAGCGAAACCCACCAGCTGGGGGCCTCCGCCCACTTTTTTCGTTCGTTACTTAAAGTGGAACATGCAGTTGAACTCCTTTCAGTTATCGTTCAGTTTGTGGGAGCCTTTCCTTTAATTTCGAAGAACATTTTCTCTAAATTGCCAGTTTCAGCCCATGAGCTCGTAGCCGTCGAGGATCACATACCCGAACGATCTGACGAAATCGAGTTACGAGTTGGTGACGTCATAGGAGTAGCTGGTAATCACTGGGACGGGTTCTCTAAGGGCGTCAATAGACGCACCGATGCCGGCGGTCTCTATCCTTCCTATAAGGTGAGGGTGGATTTCTTGATACACATTTTCTGGAACGGGTGTTCATACCATGAGCTAATCATTTTTTTTAATTTTTCACATATCGGGTTTTTAGGCAATAGAAAAATGGCGAATTGTCGACTTTCCGACTCTAAACTAGCAATTTTTCAACCGGTGCATATACAGATTTCAAAGTCATCTAGTCCATCGTTGCTGTGATATGATTCGGGTATTATAGGAGAGATTTCTATGAGATTTTTATGTTTGAATGCATTCAAAGCAGATTTGTGTATTTTTAAAAGACAATAGGAATATTTGCTTGCCTACGGTACCTCTTGCCTCTGTGCTGGTGAACGCTCAACTGTGTTTCGAATTGATATGCGTGCTTATGCTTTTTTGTTTGGTCCCCTCATGAGGAAGAGAGTGCTTGTTGTTATGTTGTTCTGTTTTCTATTGTTTTTCTTTAAACACGGATAAAACTCGTGATATTGAAGGCAAATGAAGTACAACTCGGGGCCAAGCAGGCCTTCATCGTTGATATACCTCTTCAAAAAGACCCTGCTTAAATTAAGGCACCTTACGTTACTGCTTCAGAGGAGCATTTCTCAGTTCTCCCTGTGTGTAAGGAGCAAGGCAGCCCAGGGAGAATTTTCCCTAGTTCGACCCCTACCTGAATTTCATCGTCCGGTGAGACCCTTCCACAACCGACCGACTCACCAACGCTTCACAAATATTTGTCGTCAAAGGAATACGGGTATAGAACCCTATATCTATCCGAAGCAGCAGCTTCATAGCGCTG